ACGCCCATTGTCGTTTACGAATCCCCACGACACCCTACGTCAAGCAAATCGTGGGAAAATCGGGCTAAAATCGTGTAGTCTGAACCGGGTATTAAGTTCTCTCTGTTTCGGTTCAGTTTGTCCTGCCTCGTTAATGCTTTGTGGAAGTTTATCCTGTGTTCCGGTTACCTGAGAATTGCATTAGAGGACTTTTGATCTTTCATCATTGTCTTCGTGTTCATGTTTGCTACAAACCGCGACATTGAAATATTATTACAATTTAAAGTAACATTTTTATTTTATTATAATTTGACACATATAGACCCTTCAGAAATCATTATAATATGCTGACTTGGTGTTCAACAAACATTTTTTTTTTTTTTTTTTTATTATCAATGTTAAAAACATTATAATTTTATAGTTTCTATAACGTAATAAATTGTGTGTCAATTAGCACTGCGTTATTCATATACTTTATGTATTACTGGACTTGAAAAACACACATATTGTACCAGCTGCATGCCTTTGTCCATATTAGGGATTTCCTGCACGTCATAATTCACTTCTATGAGTCCGTTTTGGACTTTCTGCACAAGAGCGCCCTCCGGATTCGAGTATAAATGAAACATACACTGCATGAAAGTGTTTAGCGCTCCTTATTATGTACACATCGCCTCATTTTGGATACGAATAAAACATAAGGTCATGCATAGACTATCTTGTCTCTTTGAATTTAAATCTAGATTTATTCACACTGGCTCTTAAAAACCTCTATGTGAAAACATTTGCCCGAAAAATTGCATGGGACAAATTTACGTTTTTCAATGTTAAAAACATTATAATATTTTTGTGGAAATGGTGATACCTTTTTCCAGGATTCTTTAATTTAATTGAAACAGAATCATTTGTAACATTTTAAATGCCTTAACTGTCACTTTTGATCAATTTAATTCATCCTCAATAAATAAAAGCAGGGCCTAAAACTAACTTTTTGCCACACCTGCCAATGGCCGGTGATGTGATAAAATTTACCGGCCAAAATTGTTTTTGATCGGCCATGAAACTCTTTTTGCAAAAACAGGCAGTCATTACTACTACAGTGACTAAACATATTTACAATGTTTTTAATTTGTCCTTTACTTTACTTACAAGAAAAAAACAACAAACAGATTTATTGATTTATATATTTGTATTTGTTGTCCCTAAAAAACGTTGAGATTCTTGTTCGGCAAACTGAGCAGGCTATCATGTTACACCTGTTTCATACATACTCAGTTTGCAGTGCGTATGTGGTGCGTATTTTTCCCCGCATCCATGTTAACAGATTAGAGCAGGGCTAAATAATTAGCTTAATTTGAGGGCCGAATTATCAAACTGAAAATTTGAAGGGGGCCAAGGGGGTGGGGGCCGTCCCGATCTTTCTGGGGGGACCTATAAAATTAGAAATTAAATTGAATTCGGAAACATTAGTGCTGTCTGTCAATCGATTAAAAAAATAATAATTAATCACACATTTTTCTGTAATTAATCGCATATTTATAGTCAAAATTTCACATTTAACCTTCAAATTAATGTAGCAACAACATAAAGATAGTATATTTTTAAATGGCATCTTTTTACTAAGTAGTATATTATTAATGAAGTATTGATACCAATACTGCTACTGGTGTCTCTATTAAATACATTTCCCCTCAATTTTACCTATTAATTATAGCCATTCAACATTACAGTATAATTGAAAGCCATTATTTTTAACATTTAATAGGCTCTGAAATATTAAGTGATTTTAAAACAATCTTCACATAAACTATAAGTTGTATATGCATAAACTATACAG